GGGGTTCCCCATATCCCATCGAAGATCCGGTCTTCTGGAAAACTAGTTTTTCAGAAACTCTGAAAAATAACCCAAGTCTTTCTTAACAATGTAGGATTGTAGTCCGCAAATTTGTGATTAAAATGAGACATCCTCCAGCTCTACACGCCCTTTTTTTGCAAAGTTATAGAAATTATAAGAAGAGCCCTAAATTAATTATTTCTGTAGCTTTGAGCTAACAATGAACAATTTTGGGCTTTTCTTATAAATTCTATAGCCTTGTAAAGAAAGATCCTGTAGCGCTGGGAAATGTCTCATTTTAATCAGAAATTTGCGGGCTACAATCCTACATTGTTAAGAAAAGTTTGGGTTATTTTTTAGAGTTTCTGAAAAACCGGTTTTCCAGGAGACCGGATCTTCGAAAGGCTATGGGGAAAACCATGGTCATATTCGCAATTAGCATGGTCGATAACCTATAACCCACTAGATTTTGATCAAAAAGCGATTTATCACCTCGGGAGGTTCCTTTGTGAGTAGTGAACGATAGAGAGTACCATACCAGCCTCGACTGGTTGTCTTCTTGTAATGTTCAAAAGCCGCCGTGTGCTGCTTATACAATTTCATATAGTTTGTTAAATTTATTTGTCGCCATATTTTCTTTTAACCTACAAGGAAATGAAGAGACAGTAGAACGTGAAGGGGAAAGCAAAATATGTTGTGAATTTCTCGACAAACTGCGTATATATATATATATATATATATTTCTCCTTTTCATTGTGCTCGTTCATATTTAGACCTACGTCGTGCGTTCCACTCCTATTTTACTGCTTATTTATAAACTTGTCAGAATCTGTATGATTTTTTTTACTAACCAGTGCTATAGTTACTTTCGTTTGAGTGTATAGCTTTTTTTTAACATATCAGACAAAACAAACTTTTCAATGTTAAAAAATATTTAGCATAAAAGATAATATTAAAACATCATCAATTCTCTACTGACACGCCCAAATTTATTTTTATTAATGAGTCACATCAACAATCGACGACTATATATGCAATGAGTCATCATGAATCAGACATACAATAGAAACCCAACGACTATACAGCTTGTCCAAATGTGACGAAATTACGTTTTTGACGCACAAAACTCTAGTTTTTTTCGCGAACTACACGAGCTAGAAAGTTGATTCTAGCGCCATTCGACGCAGCTTTTGGACTTCCAACTATGGTAAAAAAATTAAGTTTCTCGGAATTAATGTCAAGGTTCCAGAGCAATTTCACGGAGTGTGACGAAATTACAAAAAAAGGCCGCAAATTTTTGGTTTTACTGGTAAAACTGTAATTTTTTGCGAAGTTAAGGATCCAATCTGAATCATCCTAGAAAACATTTTGTAGAGCGCCTCTTGGGCTATCGACTAGTAAAAAAAAATTTTGCAAAACGCTTTTCCAGACGAATAAAATGCTTATTTTATTTCGTGACGAAATTACACACTTTTTCAGTTCTAATGCATTTTTGCATTAGTATGCATAAAACTCAGCTAAATCCAACTACAATGAGTAGGACTCTCTTTCCATTTATTTTGACTTAATTCAACTTTTTTGGAGGCTCTTCGCCACAAGTATCGAGAACATGCAATCTCACATACCGTGTTTCGCCAGCTCGGCACGAAGACCCGGCCTCCCTTGAGCTGGGTAATTTTTTTATAGTAACATTTAAGAAGGTTCAATGTAAGAATTTTCTTTTTTCTTCTTTTTTTCCTTTCTGCCTAATCAAAAATCCTGGCAAGGGAACATCTTTAGCTTTTTATTAGCTGCTAACACACTCGCACACCTAAAATAAAACAAAGGTAAGAAAACAAGCGTGATAAAAAAAATTATTCTAGTGCAATTACTACTGCTCCCAAATATACTGTCAATATTTAATAGTTCTTTTTTGCGGAACTTAAAGAGTAATAACGTGTTTCAATGTAAACTGAATGAGTTTTGAGAGTTTCAGGAACTTGTTTTGTAGCTTTAAAGATATTTTCCAGTTTGAGTTTTGAGTTATCAATGTGATTTTTGTGATTTCCATGAGAATTATCGAATTACTTTTTTTCTTTGCAATGCGAACGAAATCGGCAGCAGAACGACAAGCTTCATCTCCAAGCACAACAGACCAAACTACTCGTTTCACAACTCCTCCAATCGCATCAACTGTGCCTTTCCCATGACTAAGTGCATGATGCGTCGTTCTTTTATGCTTAGCTTTCGGTAAAATATAAGGGGTGAGTGTGTAGATTACATTTTTCTCTCTCGCTAGTAAATTAGATTTTTCTTTTCTTTCCTGCTCTCTCAAAGCAACGATCACAATACACGCAGGAGACAGATGAACGTAGAGCTGTATCGGAAGCGTTAAGTACACTCTGTATATAGAATGTCAACGAGTTCTATTCAAGCATGATGCTCTACGTGCTTAGTAAATTTAGTGGCAGATCTGAGTAGTACACGTTTAGTTGACCAGTACTCTTTTATTATTTCGCTTATTCCAGTAAAAATAGCACCTTATAATTCAGCTAAAAAGCGCTACCGCTGATTAAGTTTTCGTAATTGCGTCACGCTTTTCTACGATTAAACGCACTTGTTTAATGAAAAAAAGTAGTTCGTCAGATTCGCCGTTAAAAACTGATTATAGTGAACTACTTTTTTGGTGGAAAGTCAATGGTTCGTATAACAAGATTTTTAAAATTAGGTGTTTTCGTGACGCAATTATATTGAGTTTTATTAAGCATTTCTTCAGCCACTGTGAGATAATAAAGCAACGGATTCAATTCGTTCTTGCGCCAAAAGAAAGAGCGTGGTCGATTGTCTATGGACCATGTCGGAAGGAATTCCTATATCGATTTTTTAATGTTAAAAAAGTCTAAAAAAACGTGATCCGTAAACTTGCATTAAACTGATTTTGTGCAACGTTTTTATAATTTCAGCTTTGCTTTAGGCCCGTAAAAAGCACATGACACTATCGGATGCGCTCTACAACGTGACACTAATGATTTTGTTCAATTTCGAAAAAAATACTTGATCAGCGAAGTGTCGCGTTACGTGGATAAGCTGTATAGATATTTCTAATAGCTAGATAACTAATAGCTAGACACAAAGTCTGACTCATTTGCTTGAAGTTGTTATATTCCATTCTTCTAATAAAATATTCTTATATTATTCAACTCTAAATTCTACAATATTTTTTGATGAACGTCTGTTGGATTAATCAATCAATCACATATACTTTAATTATCCTAATTATCGCATGACAAAATAAGTGGATGACAGTGTTTTTATTCTTGATCATTAAAGCTCAACTTTATTTGTCCCCAATAAATTCGTTTTTCAAAATCGCGTGTTAGTTTCAAAACTTCAATGAGTTTTGTCTTGTGATTGAAATGGACTGTTCCCTTGACTTTAGTCAACCAACTATATAGTCAAAGGTATACCGTTGCTATCGGTCGTTGCTTGGTTTTCCATAACACCCTGTAGAAAAACAGAAAACCGTCATCAGGTCCCCGTTGTGACAATAAAGTTTCCGTCAAAATCTCTTTTGATCTATTAGTCGATCGTCGTGACTCACACGGTAATTTCGTAGTTCGACAGAAACAGTTCTCGACAACGTGTTCCCACAGTGTCAGATTTGGAGTCCAAAACCTTCGATACTGTAGAATTTTAGGTGAAAAATCTGTCGAAATTTGTATGTGTTCGATTTACGACATGGCTTTCGACAGTGTCATCTTTGTAGTAAAAATTGTCGACACTCGAATTCCAAGTGAGAAATTTCGACAGAGTTTTTAAAGGTGAATAAATTATTTTGCTGATATTCATATATTACGAGATTTTAGACGAAAGCTTAAACACATAAAAGCGTAGGGTGGGTGGGGAGTTGTGGGCATGACAGTGAGTCACTAGACCACATTCAATGTCCAGCAACTGAGCCTCGGAGACTATTGACGTTTTCCTAGGTAGAAAGACAAAGAATTTTGTGCGCTGTCGACCTGACTCATTTACAACTTCATACGACGTTTCCGCTACGTCAAATGGACTTATATCTAATTCTTAACCGCCTTTTCGAAAATTTTTCATAATAACGTAAAGACGTAAAAGCTCGCTTGAGACGCAATGATGTAGAGACATAGAAATGGTGACGTAAAGACGTAGAGATTGTCTACGTCTCTACGTGTTTACGGTTTTACTTCTCTAGTAGAGAAGTGGGGCGACAAATCCGTGGAATTTCTAATCTGTTTGAAAATTTTCGCTCGAAATCCGACAGTGTCGAAAAGTGGAACCGTCGAACGACGACAAATTCGACTCACACATAGATCGAATCCCACAATCCGCTGTACTTTGTCAAAAACCAGTGCGTGGAAGGCGTGTGTAACGTGAATTTATTTCATGGATTTTTCATTCAGTGGCATCCTCTTTTCTACTCAAATACATTTCTCCCAACTGTCAAATATATTGTGTTTCTCTCTTATATTCATAAGTTTTAACTTAAATTCCCGACTCACGAAAATCTGTCACAAGGGCGTCTACTTCAGACTCAACAATAGACGAAGAAACCGAGAAAGAAAGCACTTGTTTTCAATGGCGGTATAATCAAAAGTTGTGTGTGTGTGTGTTCACAAAACATCGAAAAATACCCGTCAGATACTCTCTGATTGAGTCAACCAGTAAACAATAATTTTATTTCAAATATTTTGAAGATATATAGAAGACAGCTAATTGAGCATCATGCGCCATGCTAGACACGTTTGATTAACCAGAATCACCTTTTGCACTGGTGTAACTAGGATTTTTGACCATTGGGCCGACTCCGCTAATTCGAAAAAACGGCTGGGCCAAAAAACCGTTTTTCAAATCTTCGATTGGGAGAATCATAAAGTTCAAAATTCATTCCACTTTCTTTTTCATTCGAAGCTAGGCGCATTCCATTCGTGGCTTCAACATAGTTTTTCTTTTTCAATAGTGACTGCTATCGTAATATATTTTAAGTCTCAATGTTAGGCCCCAGGTCAACTTTAAAGAATTCAGTTCCTAAACATTTTGATACAAGTAAATCCCTTGAAGAAGAGATTAAGCATTATAATTTAATAACATTTGGAGAATTGATTGATAAGATATTATCGTCCAATAAATTCATCAAGCAACTCGCCGAATTGATTCAGAAAGAATTTCAATCAAATGGTCAAACAATTATTACATTCGCTGATCGTCTTGGTCAATTAGAAAATAAACCGCAATAACACGTCGAAACAATCAGTGAAGCTAATTCTGC